AGGTTGTTCTGGAGTTGCCATGGCCTGTTTGGGAATTTCAGCTACACAAACTTCCAACAAACAAGCAAAATTGAGACTTGAGCTGTTGAAGAACAACATGTACGCAGCCTATAGGACAATCAAAACCATTAAAAGCCAAAGGCCACTTGTTTGGGAAAGCTGCCCCATACTCAAAAGACATTTAAGCTTTGCTTCAGACAGAAGCCTGGGCAAGTCGCATCTTCAACTTCTATGTTTCCTTTGATGAATTAAAAATGAGTACTCATACAAGACCATCAACTAAAAGTCTGCAAAAAAGCAATTCCTTATTCAAGAGTACTTAAGGCTTTTATACAGTTTCACAGGATTGGGGGGATTTGGGTCTTTGTATCAAGACTACGCTCCGACCTCTCTTTTCTTCTACATTCAAAACCTAATGTCACCCTGGCCAGGATTATCCGGATCTGCTTTTCAATATCAAGACCAATGAACTGGTGAGCAAGAAAGCTGTGGGGAAACAAGGCAAATCCAAAATGAGATGAGGCTTCAGAATCTACTCCAGTCTCCACTTGTATTTATTCTGGTTTCCAGCAGGCTTCTTTTGGCAAAGAGAGATTTACTGCCTGAGCTTTGGCACAGTGTTTCAGACAGGGAGGAGAGCTGGGACAGGAGACCACAGTATAAAAATGTACCTCACATTCAGTTTTCATTAAACAAAAGGATTTCTCCATTGCCTTTGAATGTCCTCTTTCATGTCAGGATGGCTTTGCAAGATGAAATGCCTTCTGTCCTATCAGTATGTTTCTGTTGTTCACAAGAATCCTGGTGGCAACTAAATACATGTTTTAGACTGTGTATGAATTAACATTTTAGTTTTAGTACATCCTACCCCATAATTACACTGAATTGGTTTTGGAGAGTCTGAAAGCCTACCTGCTTCCCAAATATAATGGTTTTGGCTTCAAATAAATGACAGGACAACAGTGATATTGAAATCATCCAGAGCAGAGAGTAGCCAGGATCAATTCTACATACTGGGAATTCAGCAGGTTTTGAAATTTTGCACTGATATTTACTGATTTCTTATCCTAACAGAAAGCACTTCTGTTTATATCACCTTTATTTTCCTAGAGACGAAACCTTGGTCTTGGAGAAAACAGGTTGTAGGATCAAAAGATCTAGAAAACCAGCCTTGTTATTCTGTGTCTGCATTTTTATCATCTTTAGGCTCTAATTCATCTTGCTGTACATGTGAAAGTGCAAATTCAGAAGGAATAGTTCAGAGTTTGGCTTTTAGCTTTCAGATCTGCAGAATTTTCTTCATGCCCAGTGAGTTCATTTAAAACCTGCATGCAGTGCTGCCTGCTCTGTGTTCTAGCATTCCTAATTTTCCCATTGTCCATGGTATCTTTGATCAATCCATGAGTGGAGCAACACTGTGTTGAGGAATGCACAGCCCAAACCAGAGTATGTTTTTAGTTCAAAAAATGAACCCAGAGAATGTTATTTTCTTGCCTTTGGGGTAGGATACCACACACACTCTGTCTTACCAGAAAAGGAAGTATTGGGAAATTTTGTTTCCTAGAAGAGCTATTAGAAGCAGCAATAAACCCCAAACCAATGCAAAGAGAAAAGCCTGTTTTGTAACTTTGACACTCTGTTATGCTGCTCTTTCTCCTTCCTATTTGGTTCACAGCCAGCACAGCCATGAGCGTGGGTAAAGTATCACCGAGACTGGTGGATGCAACCTCTGTCCTTCATCCAGAGCAGGAAAACCACTTGAGCTTCTTGACAAAACAGAAGTGACTCCAACACAAAGCACAAGCACGAGATCCCACCAGAGCAGAGCCAGGAGCAGAGCTATGGAATTTGATCAGGATGAGAGACAGGGTTTTCTTTTAGTGGTGTCTGTACTCTGTGACAGTGGTTGGGTGTCACTGCCACCACATGTGAGCATTGTGCATCTCTAGAGGGGAGCAGAGCCAGCTCTCCCTGTGCCAGGAGGGATGCCAGGAGCAGTGTCCTGGTCCAGGAGCCATGCTGCACCTACCAGCAGGTGCCTCCAGGTCAATCTCCTTCAGGCTGTGCTGTGGTGATGGTCACAGGGGTGAATTACATCAGTGTGAGCTGATCTGCAACCAGCAAAGACTTGAGAATGTCTGAAATTCCCATTTCCACCACTGAGAAAGGCTGATTTGCTACTGTAGCATAACAATCAGGCATATTAGGATTTCTATTCCAAGTAGAGAGGGGCCTCACTGACTCCTCTGCCACGGTGGGAGATGGAACCTTTCCTGAGCAGCCAGCAGTGGATCATGGACACTCTGGCAGGTACCAGGCAGCTGAGCCCTGCCTGCCTCCAGCTAGCACTGACTGCTCCTTGATTTAACCACACCTGTGGGAGCAAAGGAACGAGCTCAGCCAGTTGTTAGGATACTTATGGAATCCCACAGGACATTTCCACAAAATTGACAACTGTGCTAGTAAGTACTTTTTGTGTCTGCTCGAGGGACTGAAATGTCTAAGTTATTATCTGCAGCAGGGACTTCAGGCTTAATAGGCTCAGAGTGCTTGTGCAGGCCATACAATCAATGGGAAGGGGCATGTAGTGTCAGCCTGCAAGATTTGTTGTGAACAGGATTGCAGAATAATCATATTTGGAATGCCTCCATGGATTTTAAAGATGGTGAGCCCTTTCCTTTGACTGCATGGGCTATTCAAATTCCTGCCTCCATCGGCTTCTGTAACTTCATTGCCTATGCAACTGGTCTCTAGCATTTGCTTAGGGGATTCATAAATTTTTTTTAAAGCATCATTTTTTTCTGATGGGTGAAAATACAAGCACCTGTATAATTTCATGAAATGTGATTTTATTGTCAAAAAAGTGCCACTGATGCATATGGTAATTGAAATGCAAGCAGTGCCAGTGGTATCACTGCAGAGCCACTAAGTTAAGGCATTAAAATAAAGGATGAGGGAAAGTTTAGCCATGACCTTGTAAGTGAATGTTCTTCATCATGGGCAAGACTGCTTAGCAGCCATGGGGACAGGGTGGCCTCCCACCAGTTTCCTGCTTCCCAGAAGGGGTTGAATGGTGTCACACGTCCAGTTGTGACATGAGCTTTCAGTGGCAGTATGTTCACCAGGACATGCTCACAGAATTCAGAGGAGCAGAACATCAGCTCTGGTGGTGTTTCCTCTCCAGCCAAGTTTTCCTCTTCATGGTGCCTGCAGGCTGCTCTTGCAACCCCCTGACTTTTGAGAATGCTGGTTTTAGCAAAGCCATTCTTTGCTACCATAGGCCTTTTTCTACAGGCTCTGGAGAGAAATGGAGCCCTTTGCCTGCCAGATTTGATGACCAAATGGCTCTCCTGTTTCCCATACTTCAGCAAAGCCTTGAGGAGTTTCCCAAAGAGCCTCCCCTCTTCTCAACCTCTTCCTCTTTCACTTCCCTCTTCACAGAGATATTGGGATGGAGACAGAACTGTCAGTGATGGAGCCTGAGATGTGTCTCAGAGACAGCACTGCCCACCACAGCATGGTCTTCTCCATCAGCAGCATGAGGGTGTGCCGATATTCTAAGTCAAAATTCGTATTCATCCCTTGACAGGAAATGTAGAGTCCATTCCTCGACCTTTACCAAGCCACCTTTGGGGCTTTGACTTGCCACTGCAGGAACCTCACAGCCTTGCTTAGTCTCTTTTTGGAGCAGTGTCCTAAAATCTTGTCCTTAATATTCAAACCTCAAAATTTCTTCTCTTTCCTCCCCCACGGCTAGGAGGTCTTTAGCACAGGCCCAGCGAGATGTATGAGAAAGAAACCTGGCAAAAGGTTTAAATTAACTCTAGTGGTTGTGCCAACTCCTGCAGAACGGGAGTGCCAAGATGCAAACATGGCTGCTCACCAGCATTTGGCAAGGCGGTGACATCTTGTCACCGCTCTCCTGGAGCACTGGGGCCCACACAGGTACAAGGACCAGCTGGCTGGGGCACGATGCAAAGCAGGGTGGGAAAGCAGAGGGAAGAGTGCCAGACTTTTCCCAAACGAAGTCACAGCCCTGTTTCTTCAAAATCATCTACTCAAATGTGACATTACTCCTGATTGCCAGCAGAATCGAGCCTCCACAGCCACTTACCACTTAACTGATGTGTCACATGGGTTCAAGCCTCCCTGTCGGGGTAGCCCAGTCTGTGCTAGTAATAAAGAGTGCACATAAACCTATAAACCCTCAGCAAAGGAGAGAAGGACTCACTTTCAGTGAAACTTGCTCCTGCCACAGAAAGCTGCAAGAGTGCTCTGGAGCTAAGTGCTGACTGTTGGGAAGGTGCCTAGAGCTGGAGGGAAAAAAACCCCAACATAAAATAAAAAGTCTGTTTTTACATTTAATTCCTCCTGAGTCCAGAGCAGCAGAATTTTATATTTTCATTATATTTTCAAAATAAGCTATAAAGCATCTACATAGTGGAATCCATATTCCCAGGTGGGAACAACATACAGGCCCACTCTAGTCAACCTTCTTTTTGAAAGTATAGCCATGCCAGACAGGTCAGTGAAGTTCATGGGCCCTTTTGTCTCACTCCATGTTATTCATAGCCCAGTGCCACTCTGCTGTCTTCTGTCACACACAGGGACAGCCAGACCTTTGATTTCAGGGACTGCTGCAGGGCATCAGTTCTCCATCCAAATCATGCATGTGCATTGTACTCATGTTCCTTTACCTGTTTGTAATTTTTTTCCATGGCCAAAGTCTTCCAAGCCCTTCCAGTGCCTCCCCTTCTTTACAAAATGCACAGGCCCTGTGCTACTCTGTAGCTGTTGGACACACAGCACCTGTCTGCAGCTTTTACACAGGGGAGAGAGAATTCACTGCAATTTCTACACCAGCAGGAGTTTGGTGCTGTGGCACAGCTTTATGCTGAGGTGGGTGCTGAGTTTGACATTAAGCTTGGTAATGGCAAGATGATGTTGCCCATCACCCCAGCAGGGTATTTGCATATCAAAAGTACATTTGAATAAAGAGGTTCAAGAGACATTTTATTAGAGCAGCCACAGAAAAGTAAAAAGTCATGTTCCTCTTCAGACACAGTCCAAGGCTTCTATACAGCTGCCATCAAATGTGGTCTTTCTTCTTCCTCTGTCCATTACTCTCCAGCAAAAACACAACTGAAGGTATGTTTCCACAGGAGAACATTTATCTTATGCCATTTCCAAACTCCAGGAAAAGCTAAGTTTCTGAGATTAGTTATATAAGAAAAGGGAAACTTGAATTTTATGTGCTAGTGCAAACTTAAACCAAGCAAACTGTTATTTGTATTTTATTTGCTCTATAAAAAGCCTAGGAATACAAAGAACTTTTAACTGAATATAAAACTCAACATTTTCTTTCCAGGTGTCCATAGAAATACCAGTATAGTAGAAAACAAATAAAAAACCTGCAAAATACCTTAATTTGGTTTTGCTAAGAAGCCCTCTCGTTATGAAAAGAATGGGGGAAAGGGTGAACTAGTTCCTCTTTATTTCAAGCTTGCTGCTTTAATTCCATGTTGCATATGAAACAACAAACAAAATTCTAAGGAATGTAAAAAGTTCCTGTGTCTACAAAAGCCTTAGTAATACCACCCTGAGCTGAAGAACAATGGCACTGACATGAAAGGATTTTCATTTCTAAGAAATACCTTAAATCAGAGTTCAGGAATACATGTATTCCATGCTCTTCTGCAGGGCTGATTTAAACCAGACCTACTAACCTGAAATGTGCTTCCTCCCTGGGAGACTGAGCTGCAGCAGCTCAGGGCAGCCCAGGTGAGACAGGGTGGTACCTCAGGTCTGGGTCAAAGAGGAGGATCTGCATTAAGCAGAATATTCCAGGTATAATGCTACATTTCATACACTGTTCCTGGCTCACAAGGATGGACTGCAGTCTCCAATAACTACAATCGGTACAAAATTTGGAAAATTCACCACTTAAAAAATAGCAAACCCCATGTTTAATAGCCACAGAGCATTAAGGTACAAACAAAATTGCTGCTTTCCATGTTCTTTATCACTGCCTCTTTCTGAGACTTGTATCCTAAAGGTTCATTTTTCCAAATGGCATAATTGTGGCAGAGGATGAGGTCAGTGAACTCCCAGATTGTGCACTGCCTATCCCTCCTGCAGCATTACAGGGATATGCAGATGCTCAGCACCTCAGAAATCCAGGCTTGCTATACAGCTAAAACAAATGTGCAGAGCATGAATATTACAATTACCAGAGAATTAAAAAAATCTGTCTGCATTCAAAGCAAAAATAAAACTGGGAAATTTCAGAATTTCCTGAGGTGCTCTTTTTGATCAACTACAACTTTGGCTTCATTTCAATTTAGGCATTTCTTTCATAGTACAATGCAAAATACAAACTACATTGTGAAGAATATAAAAGCTTTTTTTTCCAGTTGGGAATGCCAGAACATATCCATTGTTTTTTTTCTCAAGCATATTCTTTAGCAAGTATGATTTTAAGAAGAAGTTAATCATCAGTGGAGTTGTATTCTCCAGTGGAAAGGGGGGCTGTTTGGTTTTTGACTTTTTTCTAGTAGAAATTACATAGTCCTAGAATTTCCAGATTTTAAAGTTCTCTAGTTCTACTTGAAATTTCCCATTCTTTTTTACAAAAAAATTCAATAATGCCCTTTATCATAATTCATAATGGAAGTGTCTACACATGGTAAACTATCTAACTTGGGTCCACTCTAGGCTGAATGTTTTTTCATTTTTTTTTTCTGTATTTGTGTACTTATGCAGGTTTTGAAATAAAATACATATTGGTAAGCACAAATGAACTGACATTCTATAAAATCATCAGCTCTGGGGAGATGTTGAAAAGGCAAAGTTTGCTGATGTGTCAGAGTAAAAGAACTGATGGCATGAAGAAGTGATCAGATGGAAGGTTTAAAATGAGAAGGGAAAAAGGGAATTTTTCCCAAAGAAAGAATAATTAAACTGAACTCATTGTGAACAGACACAGTGGAACCCAAGAGGGTAACTGAACCATACAAAGCTGGAATTCCAGACATATATTCAGCTTGAAAAAGCTGCTTCAGAAGTCAGGAAATTCAAAGGTAAGTGTCTCACAACAGAGTTTTTTAGGCATCTTCCTCAAAAAGATACTGAGCTAGATACTTCTTATTAATATGCATTTTTGTTAATAATCTCTTCAATCTAAACTATAAAACGTGCTGTGCAACATGACTGAACAAACATCACTGTGAGAAGTATTTCCCCCTTGTTGGAGTAATTTGAATTTGTAAGCTAATGTAAGTTTTTGTATTAAATAATGTACTGTGTGCAATTTTCTTTCTTGTAAAGTACTTTGAAGCTTTCAAAGGGCACTCTAGGTTCATAAATAATGTGCTGTTCTTTGCCAGAACTGTAGGGCATTTCTTGTAAGTTCTGAATGTTCTTTGCCAGAATTGCAACATGCTACATGCCAAATCCTGCACACAAATGTTCTACATGTGGCAAATGCATATTGGTAAAGACCAGAGGCATGGCATTCCTGGATTTCTTAGAGAGACTGGGGAAGGGAAAGAAGTGGGAAGGAGTATTGAGGAAAGGCAGAGAAAAAAGCCTGTGCATCATTTTAAAAAATGAAAAACAACAAAAAAACAACCTCCACTCCCAAAATAACCCGTAACTTGCACTTAAGTATTTCCAAAACTTTTTGTTGTACGCAGCACAAACTCACCCAGAGCTGGGTCTTTACTTTTCCTTCAGTTATGGAAACCAGGCCTCTATGTCATTAATAGCTGAAGATTCTTCAATGCCAGACATTTGTAAGGGTCAGAACACCTGCAATCCCTGCTCCTCTGAGCACCCCCTAATGTAAATGGAGAGGCTGAGAGCCAGGAGAAGCAGCACAGTCAGGATCACCACTATTTAACAGGCTGTGCAAATGAATCCTCTTCTTCAGGCAAAATCAGCATTTCTTATGCCTAAAGCTGCAGGGAAGAAACCAAGGCCAATGTTTATAAAGTGTGAACTCTGGCCTCTTTGCAACCTCTGCCACAGACAAGTAGGCTCCTACTTCTGCAGCTTGGAAGAGGAGTAAGACCCAGAAATTCCAACAGGCATTTGGCCACATAGGTTAGACTGCTGAAGGATACCAGGTCTTGTTACTATATTCTTGATTAAGCACAAACAAGTAATGTCAACAGTCCTCTATAGTTTGGATGGAATTGCTGAAGTAATTAAAAAAAATTACCATTCCCTGCCCTTCACTGAATTTCAAGAAAATGGTGACAACAATTATTAATCACCCAGCAACAACCAGGTAGTTGAAAAGTTATGAGAAGGTACTTAGACCTAATCAGGCATTAAGCACCAAGATTTGATAAATGTTTACAAAATAAACTGAAGTTAAAACTGAACTCCACTTTCTGCAACACTAAATGAACGTTTTACTATCTGGTTTCTTTTGAGGTGGCAAGAAACTACAGTAAAACCTTTGCTGTTGCCAGAATTACACTGCTTAGAGAAAAACATCCTGTGTGTTACCATTTGCTGCCATGATTTACAGAGATATGGTCTGTAGTCTGTATCAGTTTCATGTGGAAGTTTTGAAGGTAAAAAGCCTTCTGCAGAGTTTGCAGATTTCTGCATTAGTGTCTGTGTTGTTGCAAAGAGGATCAAGTGGTGCTGTGTCACAAGCTTTTCAAGGAAGTTAGCACATTTCTTCAGGTTCATCTCCTGCAAGGTAAGACTCTCCCCTCCATTGCTTCTGTCTATCCAATAAAAAGCTGATAAACTGTCTAAAATCAAAACACAGAGCGAGGGGTGAGCACAGAACAAGTTTTCTAGAGAGTGGAGAGTCAGCAGTAACTGAGTGCTGCTACTGCAGCTGACAAGGAAGAGCCTTCCCAGGCACTGCCTTATCATTTCTTCTGTCCCCTGTGCCAGCCTGTTCTCAAGAACGGTGACCAGGCGGAGCATATCGAAGTGGTAATCGGTGTCAACAAACATCACTTCCACTTCCAGCCCTCCCTGTGCCTTGGCAATGATGCAGCGGGCCAGCAGGTGATAAAGCATTTCTGTTTTGCCTGTCCCTTCTGGGCCGTGGAATTCAATAACATCTCCTGTTCAAAAACAAAGCAGCACATTGTCAGGTAAGAGCATTTCTAGCCTAGAGTTGGTTCTCGGTGTTTTCTGAACCAATATTCACTATTCCACAAATTGGGAAATGCATTTTAATCAACATTCATAAAATGGTTTAAATCCTGGTTAGCATCCACCAACAGATATTTCAGTTTTCAAGAAAAGCCTCTAAAGTGAAGTCAACCAACTATGAACAAGGACTGAAAGCCTCTGCCAGCACCATCTAGGAGACTTCCATCAAGAAAAGGTTGGCAACTGGATTTCATCTATATCATTACAGGCAGATAAAGGCAGAAGAGGAAGCTGCTACACAAAAGTGACTAAGAAACCATCTACACTATGCACACACAATTAAGAAATAACAAAGCACAGGACAAAACAAAAAAAATTACGTATTAGATGTCATTACACATAGATATAAAATGCTTTATGTCACAAGATTCCTACAGGAATCTGTGTCTGGTGAAGAAATCACCAGTAAGTTTATTTAGCACTTATATTCTCCTGTGGTGATAATAATGTGAAACTGCTTCTTTTGACAAGGGAGACTCAGGGATTCCTTCAACTCCAGGCCAGGCCTCTGTCTGAAGCAAAGGATCTCTGATCATAAAAGGATTCAGCCTAATTGCCTCATCCATGTGGGTCATAAAATACATATCATAAAAATTTAAAATGTTAATTAAAAACAGCATTACACTTCATTAGGAAACCAGTTCTTTTGTTGGATGTGAATGCAAGATACTCTAAAGCCTTATCCAAAGTCTTCTGATGTCTTGTATCAGAGCAAGACCCTAGAAAAAGTTAATTGATTAGCTGCTCTTTATAAATTTCTAATTTTGGGAACTGGATTATTTATTTATGACATTTTGGATTTTATAGGCAGAAGGGTAACCACATGCAGTAAGGAGAATCACACCACTGTAATTGCAGGAAGGTGAGAGATTTCCATGGCCTGGCCAAGTGCAAATGGCCTAACAGCTTCCCATAGGGGGATGTGAGAGTAGAGAATTAACTGCAACTTTCCTTAAACATGTTTGTGCCTGCCTGAGTTAACAGGGTTTTTCAAGTCACTGCTCAACTTCCAGAGGATGTCCTCATTCACAAGTGCCTACAACATCAAGATGCAGTTTGGGATCAGGGGAGCAGGATGGTAGAGAAGAAACCAAGCTCTTCTCCCTTTGCAAGTGTTAAAAGCAATTTACACCTGATGTGACAAGTCTGTCCATTTCAGTGACACTCAGAAATATCATTTATATGAATTTCTGACCCTTTGAAATCTATTAAAAAGCTTGGTTGTCTCCCAAGCCCTTATTAAGCTGTTCTGAATGGCTCCCTCACTTCTGAGATGAAAGATAACTGCACATCCTGGGACATAAGTTTGCATTTTCTCTTCCTGCGCAGAGGTCACGGTGCCCGACGCCGTCACTTGCAGGCAGTGGCTCTGCTGTCACACAGCCTGTGCCAGAGACACAACCACACCCTGGCAGGGTGAGATACCAGCTTGCAAGAGCTCCTCCTAAAAGTGCTGGCTAGGTCATTCCCTCCTATTTTGTCTCTTGCAGTATTTTAGAACAATTGTGTAAGGCAGTTCTTGATAAGAACAAAGTGTATCTTTTGCCACTGGCTGTGACACAAAACTTCTGCCACCCTGGTTGGCATTTCTGAATCCAGAGCAGTAACTGAGGGGCCAATAGGCAATGCTGCTTCACCTGCCTTTACAGCAAAATATGACCTGCTGGATTCAAAAATTCTTCTGGGAAATAAATGCTTCACTTTTTCCATTTGAAGACATTCTAGCAGGGTGTCTGTGTGCTGCAGAATGACACTGGATGAGTTGTTTTTTTTTACTGGCAGAAGTAATAAAACTTATTTAAGTAAAAATTCGAAGTTGAATGACAAAAATCATTCTCGGAGGTTTTTGTAGTGGTGATTTATAAATGTGAACAGCAAGACAGCCAAGCACCCCTCAAAGCTTGTTCATCATTGCTGAAAGAGATCCACAGCTGTCCTGTAGTTGGAAACAGAAACAGCTTGGACTGCAAGAAAACCTCAAGAGAGCTGGGGATTTCTGTGCCTTCCTGATTATCCAAGAGCTGCCCGCAAGGAGAACGGGTGCAAAACAGGAGCCATTTATAGCAGCATCTATAAATGTTGGGTTTCATTGAATTAGCAACCAGGCTGTTACAGTAAGATAAGGGGGGAAATTCATGTCTCTGGATCAGAGAGGACAAGCCATGACACAGCAAAGGAGGAAGTGAGGCCAGCAACGTTTTCAAGAAGCCTCTGACACGCTGACAGTAGGTCACAGAAGAAACTGAGTGATCACAACCAGCATCATCCATTAATGTCAAAACAACTTGGAAAGGAGGATTAGTAAAAAGATACTGTCACAGGATGAGAACAGGCTGAGAGGGAGAGCAGGAACAGCACTTTAACATGGAAGAAAGTTAATGGGAATTTTTTCTATTAGAATTGGTGTTGGCAGACATTAAACATATCAGTAGATGAATGTTCCATTAGCTTGGCAAAACATGCAGAAGACAAACTAATTGGGTTAATAAAAACTTAAGTTTGTGAAGATTTAACAGATGGAGATGGATGAGTAGAGTGATTTCACATGAAATTCAGCACTAGTGAATTCAAGAGTTAGGTTTTAAGGAGTCCCTGAACACATTGCCTGGCTCAGGGCAGCCAGAGCTGGCTCATTATGGGCAGACTAAAGAGAATAATACCCCACTCCTATGAATGGGCATGCAGGTTAAACTAAATGATGCTGAAGAAATGTAAATATTTATGTAAGATTTATATATTTTAATTGAAATGCTGTGTTCAGTTCTGATCATCAGTTTGGTGTTACATCTTGAATGAGAAGAGCCTTATTTTCATCTGTAATCAATCTACCTGAAAATGCTGGTTCAACTATTTTCTGACACTGCAGATACAAACAGGCTGCTGGAACACTCAACAATAACTTTGTGTGTTTCACATTCTAGGCTACCTTGAAGTTCCTGGGCTGATCATTTACAATGCTGTGCAGAAGCTGTCACTATTATTTACACCATTTATAAGTGAAGTAGAAAGGCCTAATATTTATTCCAAGTTAATGTTGGGCGTCATGCAATTGGTGAAGATCAGAGCCTTACACTGACACCCACACCTTCATGCCAGTGGCACAGGGGAAATATGACTGGCAATAGTGGAAGATTATTTAATGCTTGTGTCACTTTTGCTCCATTCCAGAAGAGCTTAAATGGTATGTAATTAATGTACTTATGTGCTCTTAAATATGCAAGTCCATCATAATTAGAAGCATTGGTTAGAGTATCACATTAATACCTATATTACCTGTCCCTATTTTACAGTACCCTGACATGCAAGTTATGAACATTTAACTAAAATGTAACCTTTGGATAGTTTATTGAAACTTCATGTATTTGTTTGAAAAAATGAATAATTTAGGTCTTTGCATTGCTTTAATCACAGCATTTGAGATGAAGAGCTGTTCAGTATTGACTTCATGGGCAACCTATTACAGAATTCCACAGTGACACACTAAAAGTCAAGTTCATGACAAATGGAGAGGTAAGCCTTCAACAGGGATTTAATACTGAATAATGTGAGCACACATCAAAATAACACATGGCCTCACATGAATAGTGTGGTATTAAAAGACAAAGCAAAAATGCAATAAAAGGTGAAGTCCATTTATATATATACAGCTAAAGGGCTGTGCTAATATGTTAGGCAGCTTCATTAATGTCAGCCAAAAAGCATGACCAGTATGGGTAATAATTGATACCATTTGTTGGAAGCAGAAGAAAAATACAAGTGCTTCAAAAGCTCAATGACTCTGTTGGCACAGAGAAACCAGTGATGCATTTTAGAAGGTTTCCAGCCATGTTAGAACTGAGGTTCTGGAACAGTCTTCAGACAGACATGAACAACCTATAAAGCTTTAAGAGCAAAGCAGATAATTTGACATGAAATTATGTAACAGTATGGACTGCAGCAAGGGCAGTTAGTGATCCCCAAGAAAACATCTTAAAATCTGTCTGACCAGTACATAGCCAGTTCAGTCTCAAACATTTGTTTGTTGTGTGTAAAGTTGACTAAAAAATGCCAAACATCTAGACTAAAAGAATGTTTAATATTTATGTTTTCAAAAAACTACAGTAATATCTCATTTTCTAAAAAAATTAAGAATTTGAGAGTCTTGTGAAGCATACACTAATTTCACTCCTGGCCCTTAATTCTTCTTGTAACACAGCAGAAAATGAGAGAATTCAGAAATGAGAGAATTTAAATATTCTTGTGCTCTACTTGCACTGGCTTAGCAGTATTTCTCCACCCTTTATCATTGTTATGTCACACTGGAAACTTTCAGGGCAGGAATCATGTACTGCTAAAGCCCACATGTGTTTTCTACTGCTGCAAAACATTACACAAAGTGTCTCACAGTGACTGTGTTTGAAGACTAAGCATCATCTCTCATCCAATTATCCTGATTCTTTTTATTGCTTTTTCTGCTTGTTATTCTGAACATTCCACATTTGTGGGAATTCAAACTGCAGATAAGTGTGCTGCTAAGCACTGAAGCCACATACTTGCCCTATGAAATCCACTCACACACACATAAATTCCACAACAGTAGTACCTCACCACTGATCCTCACTGTTTGCCACTCACATGCCTTTTTTCATATATATTTTTAGCCCTGTGTAATCAGAGTTGTCTCTTCCATCATGAAATTCATGAAATTTCACACAATCTGGAAAATCAGTCTGAATTCCTGAATAGTGTGTTATTTTCTTTTTAGTTCACTAATTTCTTTCATTGAAATACCCAACCTTGATCTTTCTTGTACTGGTGTCATTGAAAGGTTACCCCAGTTCTCCAATGTGAAATTCTCATTCATTCACTGAAGGTCTCTATGACCCATGTTGATCCTGCATTGTGAACTCATTCAACTAATTAGTACCTATGGCCATAATGGAATTGTTTATGAACTTCTATTCTAAGCATACTTAGGATTGTTCAGGTCAAGACTGAATGGCATGATGAGCTTTGTTTGCTCATGCTCCTTATCCTAATTTACCCAGACAACTCTGTATCACTGAACTCTCTGCTATTTACTGAACCTCATGTTCTTTGCAAATTTCTGCAGTTATGACTTGTGGTGGTTGTCTAGACCACTGATTAAAAAAAACAAACAAAGAGGTTTAATGACAGACTCTAGAACAAATTGCTGGAAAACTACTGACACTGACCAATGTGCTTGGTTATTTACTCACCTACACCTGTGTCTTGATATGCATAAAATAGATTTTGAGGCCTATTTAATAATGTTTGGAAGGGTGACTTTGCATTATTCCATTTTATCTAGATTGCATTGAACCATATCAAAAATTAGAATTATGATCTAGGGCAAAATAATTTACTTGTATGCTTATCTCTATTGATAGAAATAGAGAGAGATAGAAATATAGAATATTTCTACATGAACATTTTTCCCTAAATGGGATGAAGACACATTTTTACCATGAACAGGAGATCCTTCCTCAGCAAACAGACAAGGCTCGAGATTCTTCAGAGAACTTCTGCCCTCGAGTCGTGCACGCAGCTTTTAAAGACAAGACAAAGAGCCATGCTGTTAACTTTAAATAATGAACCTCAGGACACAAATTTAAAGGATTTTAAGAAGTGGCAGTTTTCCATGACAGTCCTATTGAAAGATTAGCCTGATTTTAAAAGTGTTTTCATAAATACATATGGAAATGTATAGTCATGACTACAGCAACAGAAGGTCCCAGCTTTACAAACAACAAGCACACAGATACAGTGGCAAGTGAGGATTGGAGATATGAGGAGAAATAAAGTTTAAAAAGCAAAGGCTGCTCAGGGACATTAGTGAGAGGGATCACCTCCAGCCCACAGCAGTGCTGCCATTCCAAAGAACTAAGGGAAAGAACATCATTTGTAACAACCAAAAAAACCCCTCCAAACCTCCAAAAAACCACTGGCTGAGAGCTGAAACCTTACCCATCAACAATCCCCCGAGCCAGCTTCTCTGAGCATTTCTAAGTAAAACCATGTGCATTTCACCTGAGACGTTACACAGGACTCCTCTGGGCTACAATCCTATTATATCATAGTTACTTGTTCAAACAGAGTATGGATTAAGAATGTTCAAAAGTAATTAGTCACCAGTGGCTCTGCAAGAACCTTTCTAAAGCAAGCTTGAATTTGTTAAGCAAGTTCTCCAAAGCCCCTCGTAAAGTAAGTCCATTGTAAAACTAATTACTTCAAAGATCATGGACAGTTGCTTAAATTGAGAGGTATTTGCACAGCAAGCAGACAGGTATTCACAAAACCTGTGTTGTTATTAGTTCTGGCACACTGTGTAAAGCAAGAATGAACATTTTCCCTGGTACCAGAGCTGCTATTCCCTACATGTATTCCCATACATGGGAAAGGACATTATTGGGATGCTCAGTGTCACCAGAGCACCTACCCTGGGGCCAAATACTACACTCTCCAAGACACCCAGGTGTCATTTAGAGATCTGAACAAAACAAATCCTGTTCACTTCTATCCCATCCTCAAGACTAAAAGAGCAGTGAGCACACACCTTCAAACAACTGTTGCCTTCTCTTGCTTTCCTCCTTGTCATATGCATGAGCAACACCTGCTCTGAATGATCTTAGAAGTTCTTTAAATAGTTGTGTGTGTATGTTTGCCTTTAAGAGTAAAAAATTAAATGGTCCTGAATTTGCTTCAAGTGGTCACAATGGGAATCTAAGTGTGACATTTTCATTGACATTTTAAGAGTTCCCTCCATTAACAAAATGTCAATGTGTTTGCCTTGGCCTCTTCACACCTATCCAGGAGAGTTTTCTGACTCATCCTCTGAAGGGCCAAAAAACCACTCAAATTGACCTTGCTCTGGATAAGCAGATCCTCCCATTACACTTCACACTTTTGTGCAGCACTAAACACACGGTGAACTCCTGGGAACCAGCAGAGTTCCATGATCTGGACAAAGCAAACATCCAGATGGACATACTAAGAATACAGGAGCTAACTTGGGGCACATAAAGCAGCAGCTCTCAACTACCAAGAGGGCCTTGGCAGGCCCTGCACGTGCAGCTCTCCTGCTGCCAGGGCCTGGCCACCAGCAGGGAGAACCAGGAATTCCTCACCCCTTTGTCAGCAGTGGAAGATGAGGGAAAGAGGAAAACCACCCCAGGCTGCTGCTTTCTGATGCTCTGCACTTCTCACAGAGGAAGCACTGCTGCAGCACACAGGGATAACAGGGGCTCAGTGATGGGCACTGCTGGGGCCAGCAGTCACAACTACTGCTGGCCTAAACCCATTGCTGCAGCCTCCTGCTCCTAAATTAATTTGTACATTAACAAATATATCCTGTGCAGTTTATTTTTTCTGGAACAGTGAGCCCCTGTGTCCTCTTTAGACTATCAACTCCTTAAGTTTACTGAGAGAGAGTAAATTGATCACTCTGGTTTAAATATGAATCTGTCGTTATTTAAATGACAAGTTTATGGATTAATTTTAAATAAGTACAGGTGCTTTCTCTGAGCACTGCTCATGAAGGTAATTTATGGTAATTTGCTGATGATAGCACACCTGTGTTTTTATCCAGCTTGTATTTACTTCCGCGTTCTGAAGCAGAATCTCCAAAGGCACTTGCCTCATTAGTGCCACGCTGGGAGCCACGGGGTTCCTGGCACAAACAGGCAACAATTTTCCTCCAGCTCTCACAAAGGTTTGTCCACAGTGCAGCACAAGTGATGGGAGCACAGCTGAGACACTGCACAGGCACCCTCACCTCTGCCCACGTTACACAGGGACAGCACAGGCTGCTCCCAACCCAGCCAGAGCCGCCTTGCTCTGCTCCAGGGGAGCCTTTCCCATTCTGCCTCCCCTCCTGTTCTTCTGGAATACGAGGGGGGAGAAATCCCCAGCATGTACAGGGTGATCTGAGGGTGGGTGTCAGGTGCCCCAAGCTTTGTCACACACAATGTACAGAAGGACAGACAGCACCCCTGGAGAGAACCTTGGAGCGGGAAGAGCTTAGAAAAAATTCCCAAGTCAATTTCAAATCCCCTATTAGAGATTTCTGATTCCATTATCAAAGTGTAGGTGCTCATTTTTATCTCCATAAGCCTCTCTTCATCTTTTTTTACACAAAACACCACCCTTTAGCAGCCTGCTAGTGGTAGCTCCTCATTCTTAGGTATTTGAAAATGTAATTATGCCAGCAAGGAACTGCACAGATGTGCAGTTACATGTACAGAATAAGCTCTACAGCAAAAGTTCAGCAGCAGCTGGGATAAGTGTCAATAATGACAAAGCTGATGGGACTCAAATACTTCAGCTATGCTTTTTATAATTTTTTTCCTTTTAATAAAAAAATATGCATGTGGACAGTCCACTGACTAATGCCTGACATGCTTGTGCTCTGTTGGTTCCAACAGAGCTGTGCATCAATGCAAGCACACACGCAGGTCTTGTCAGGAATGAGAGATTACTTCATTAAAATGTTAAAGAAATTCAAATTAAATACTCCAGCTCTGCTAGAGGCTGTGAGCTAACCTACAGGCTATTTACACATACAAACCTATCTCCAGTACTAGACAAAATTTAATTCTCAACCACTATAACCACTCTGATTGAGCTTTTGTAAACTTTGGGCATAAAGACATATGCAAGCCATTTATCATTACTTTTACTGTGATAAACCAAAGGTGTTTTGCAAGAAGTTCTAATTTGTTGTATTAATTACATTCAATAATAAAAGCACAATACTGTGGTCTCAGTATAACTCAGTAAAATCTGACTTTATGCATGAGGCTATTTAAAGGAGTATTGGTTTAAATTAAGTGTTTTCTGTTTCAAGTGCTTTTACCATTTTTTGTCTGGACATTCTGTATTCATACATTGACTTTTCTTAACCCATTGGTCTTCAACTCCTCCCTTGTTCCAGGTTGGATATCCATCCACTGCAGGCAGTTGATGCCATGAGCATTCCCTGTCAGCACCACTCATGTGGACAAATAAATGCATTTATCCCTTGGACAAAGTGCACACCTCATATCCGTAATTCACATCTATTTGCCAATAGTGGACATCTGATACTAATTTTTTTTTAAGTGTCAAAAGGGCTTAAAAGCCCAAGTCCCACTAAAAACCACAAGGAGCTTTAACAATAAGTATTATCACACTTTTCTGTTTTATGTGAACTATTCAGCATGTTCCGGTATAGTTACACACAAGTCTCCAAGCAATTAAGTTGCTGATCGAAAGCAGAAGTTTCTAACAAATAAAACATCGAGAAATGGGAAAAAAACTAATTAAACAACACAAAATCCCAAAACTCAAACCTCTTTTCTCCTAAAGAGGAGGAAAGCAATTCCACCTTACAAAATGTTTATTTACAGAATCATAAAGTTGGAAGAGACCTTTAAGACCATCAAGTCCGAACCTTTAAAGGAAACCTTCCTCACAGGTCTTCTTCCTTAGGCATCCCCTCCAATGCCTGGGAGGGGAGCGCGAAGGGAATATTTAAAAAAGAATAATCGAAACACCCGAACCAAGAAGCGCCCACAGCAGAAATCCACCCGGATCCCGACACAAAGGCAGAACACGGCCCCAAGGAACCCCGATCCCTCCCGGATCCACCGGGAAATCCACCGGGAATTCCAGCGGGAAGCCCCCGCGGCCTCTCGGGGGCGGAACTCCCTCCCTCCCTCACGCACCGCCCCCTCAGGAG